CAGCGTCTTGTGGGTCTTGACGTGGGGGCGCAGGCGGAGGCCGAGGGCCCGGCAGCGCTCCCGCATGCGCTCGGCGTTGTGCCGCAGCGTCGCCTGGTCCAGGGTCAGCGCCGGGGTGGGCAACTGCTCCAGGGGGGCTCCCAGCCACCTGCTGCTGCTGTGGGGGAGCAAGGGGGAACCTGCCCTGCACCCAGCCCTGCACCCAGCCCTGCACCCAGCCCACCCCACGGGCATGGCGGTGGCTGCTCTGGGTCCCTGCCCCCCCCCCGGGTGGGGGCTGGGGGTCGGTGGGCTGAGCCCCACAGGGCACAGAGCTGCGGGGTTCCCTTGGTCTCAGCCGGACACGGGGACTGGGACACCTGGGACTGGGACACCTGGGTCACCTGGGACTGGGACACTGGGAACAGGGACACCTGGGACTGGGAAACCTGGGACAGGGACGCCTGGGACTGGGACATCTGGGACAGGGACACCTGAGACTGGATCACCTGGGATAGGGACATATGGGACTGGGACACTTGAGTCACCTGGGATAAGGATACTGGAAACAAAGATATATGGACTGGGACACCTGGGTCAGCTGAGACTGGGACACTGGGAACAGGGACATCTGGGACTAGACCATATGGGATAGGGACACTGGGAACAGGGACTTGAGACTGGGACCTATGGGAATGGGAAACATGGGGCTGGGACAGCTGGGTCACCTGGGACTGGGACACCGGGAATAAGAACACTTGGGACTGGGACATATGGGACTGGGATATATGGGACAGGAACACCTGAGCCCCCATGGGAATGGGACACGTGGGACTGGCGCAGGCACACCTGGGATAGGGACATATGGGACAGGGACACTGGGGACTGGGACTTGAGACTGGGACCTATGGGCATGGGAAACCTGGGAATGGGACACCTGGGTCACCTGCGACTGGGAAACCTGGGACTGGGACACGTGGGACTAGGATACTGGGAACAGGGACACCTGAGCCCCCATGGGAATGGGACACGTGGGACTGGCACACCTGGGATAGGGACATATGGGACCAGGACACTTGAGTCACCTGGGATAGGGATACTGGAAACAGAGATATAAGGGACTGGGGCACCTGGGACTGGGAGACCTGGGTCAGCTGGGACAGGGATATTGGGAACAGGGACACCTGGGACTGGAACATATGGGACAGGGACAGTGGGAACTGGGACTTGAGACTGGGACCTATGGGAATGGGAAACGTGGGACTGGGACACCTGGGTCACCAGGCATAGGGACAGTGGGAACAGGGACACCTGGGACAGGAACATATGGGACAGGGACAGTGGGAACTGGGACTTGAGACTGGGACCTATGGGAATGGGAAACGTGGGACTGGGACACCTGGGTCACCAGGCATAGGGACAGTGGGAGCAGGGACACCTGGGACAGGGATGCCTGGGACTGGGACACTGGAAACTGCCACCTGGGACTGGGCCATGTGGGACTGGGCCACCTGGGCCCAGGGCGCAGGGACAAGGACACCAGTCCATGCCCAGGTGGGATGGGGACTCCTGGCCCCTGCGGCGGGGTGACCTCCGTGTCCCCACCGACACCCGGGGCACCCAGCGCAAGGCTGTCGGGGGTGAAGGTCCCGGTGGCACCCTGAGCACCCATCCCTCCCCCTGCCCACCTGTCCGTCTGTCCGTCCATCCCTCCGTCCGGCGCCGCGGCTGCTCCCGGCTCTGCTCCGGTGGCCCCGCTGGTGCCCGCTCCACGTGACGCCGTGGGCACCCGCAGCCAGCCTTGGCCAGGGACAGAGGTCACTGCCGGCCACGGGGCCCCCCCGGGGGTGGCAGGGGTAGGGGAGGACACGGCCACCGCGGCCGGCGACGCTCAGCCTCCCCGAGACAGCACAGGGACAGCCTGCCAGCTCCCTGGGGCCAGCGGCCAGCTCCAGAGCCCTGTGCCTGGCGGGGGGGGCGGGGGACGGGAAGGACGG